GTGGAACGGAACAGCAATGGGACTCGACATGGGAGAAACAGGCAGGTGGAATTGTGGGGTCTCCCAGTCACGAGACTTGGTGTGGCCCTGGTTGAGAGACGTGTGGTGGATTTCAGGCAGACATTGGGGGCTGCAGCAGTCTCGTATATGTGGACAGGAGGAGAAGGGCAGGGCCCACTGTAGGTCAGCTGTGGGGTCTTGAGGCCTGGCCCGATGAGCTGGAAGGTCAATGGTGGCTGCTTCCTGAGCTGGGGCCACAGGAGAGGTTTGTGGGGAGAGCACAGATGAAGCGTCTGCATGGGAGTGGGTGACTGTTGGTCACAAGTCCAGCTCAGGGCTGGTGACAGGAATTCTACAGCCATCAAGTACAAATAGAATTGACAGCCATTGAACTTGGAAAGTCTCTGTGGACACGATTTAGGGATGCAGAAGAAGCAGCTGAGGCCTGGCCACTGCGGGGACAGTGTTTGGGGCCCCGCCCCTGCCTGTGGATGCCCAGGCAGAAGCCGCACAGACTGGCCTGTCGCCACTTCTCAGATGTGTTCAGCAGCACTGAGCAGCCGAGACACAGGCTATCTTTCCACATCCTTTTATTAATAAAATGGGTGTCTTTAAAATACCCATAGTTTTCTCTGTGGAATTCAGTGTGGCTACTTCCATTCTTCATAGAGCACGCGTCGCTTATCTCCCCAGGTTCACGCTTCCGAAGAGACTGCTCACCATCTCCTAATCTTGGAGATCTTCTTCCAGGCAGGAATTCTGCACGTTCAGTTTATGCACGATTACGATCACACAGAAATAGCAGTAAATTGTCTCTGACTCCTGCAAGATGCCAGTTGAATAAGGGGCTTTGGGAGATAATGAGGCAGATCTCCTGACCTTGTCTTATGTAGCCCTGTACATTTCACCACATAGTACCGAGGAGAAAGTGCTTAAGAATGTGCTTTATGATTTAAGCGACTGGATTTTTTCATACAACTACACTTGCCTTTAGGACCTATAGGCACTCATTGGAATTTCTCTTGGATTTGTTTGGTGTAGGCTTTTATGATACTCATGTTTATTTATCAGCATAACATTGCATCAGCATTTAACTTACTTTAAAACCTAATCCCCTCTTGGGAAATTCTATATAAAACCCTGAGAACGGCAAAAAACCTAACGAGGTGTGTAACAGACGGCCCCCAGCTCACTGAGGGTTCGACTTTATCATGGAGCCAGAGAGATATACATTCAGTAGAACATCAATAAAGTGCATGAGATACTCAATACTTTGTTACAAAATAAGCTTGTGTGAGATGGTTTTGCACATCTGTAGGCTAATGTAAGTGTCTGAGCACACTGAAAGCCAGCAAGGCTGAGCTGCGATGTCAGTAGGTGAGTTTTATTCCAAGCTGACAATCTATGACTGGTCTGTTGGAGCATGGCCCCATTGTAAGTCAAGGAGTATCTGTATTTTGGGACAACCTAATGTTAAACATAATGGTGGGAATCCTATGGAGCTCTGCACCCTCCCCCATCGTGACTAGTTACGTGACTAATAATGTGACGTTTGATAGCCCAACCCTCTTACCTTGGTCATGAGAATTGCTGCATGGATCTCTGTACAAAAGCCCTGTGTCCTGTGGCCAGTGGTCAATCACAGGGTTTCATTGCTGTCATGGGGCTCGTGTCTTCAAGGAGCCTCTAAATGGATGTCATCACATGCAGCCTTCATGGCGGCGGCATCTGTTCCAGTGCTGAGACATAGAAGCAGCTTGGGCCTTGCCGCCAGTGGGCCTGAAGTCACTTGTTGATGCTGGTGGCATGCCTTGTCTGCTGGGTTTTGTGTGAGCTGCTAGATGTGGTGTTGCTGTTCTGAGATGTGGGCTCTTGGGTCGCAGCTGCCCCAGCAGTCCTGGTGTAGCAGGAAGTGCCCGGGTTGCCACTGCAGGCCAGTGCAAGCATCTCCAAATCTGTCTGAGGCCAGAGACTTCCTGAAGGAGGTGACAGTGAAGGTAAGCCGGAGAGGGCCTCGCAGCAGCCAGAGCTCCAACAAAGCTGTGTCAACCTGGGAAACAGCGTAGGGGCTGGCCCTGCTGCTTACGTGCCCGTGCCTGCCCAGTCCCGCCGGAGCCGTGGAGTGTGGAAGGACAGAGCCAGGCGCCACTGCCGCCTCCTCCCCCTCCTCCCCCCTGCGGTTTTCAAATCCTCACCCTCTAAAGTGAGAATCAGGGAGGCACACCACGAACCGAATAAGAGGTCGTGAACCACAGCTGCATGGACTCCTGGGTGCTCATGGCGTAACGACACCAAGCCGTGGATGGCATGTGGGCTTGTCTCACAGAGCAGAGATGAGAGCTTTGTCTCCCTCAGGCTCACCATGAAAGGCTGGCTGGAAGGGGTCGAGCATGGGGAAACAGGCACAGCGGGGGCAGCAGGTTCCTCATGGGACACACACAGCACTGTCTGTAAGCCTGGGGGCTAGGCCCAGGGCTTACCCAGCAGGTGGGCACCTGGCGGTTCTTGGCAAGGGGACCTCTGCGGCAAGCTGCGGGCTCAGCTGGGCTGTCCAGGAGGTGTTTTCACGCCGGGGCTGCTTTGTTTTCAGACCTGGAGACCCTCCTTTTCTTTTTGCGAGCTCAACCATGCATTTAAAGTTTTTCTTTTTCCTTTTTTTTTTAAAGTTTTTCATTATTTTATTTTATTTTATTTTTTTGAGTTGGAGTCTCACTCGGTCGCCCAGACTGGAGGGCAGTGGCCGCTCCCGGCCACCGCAGCCTCGACCTGCCGGGCTCCGGCGATCCTTCCGCCTCAGCCTTCCAAGCAGCCGGAATTACAGGCACGCGCTGCCATGCCCGGCTGATTTTTTGATTTATTGTAGAGATGAGGTCTCGCTGCCCAGGCAGGTCTCGAACCCGCGGGCTCAGTCAATCCACTTACCTCAGCCTCCCAAAGGCGCGGAATTACAGGCTGAGCCACCGAGCCCGGCTAAGTTTTTCATTATATTTTAGCCAACGTTTTAATGTTGGTAGTGGGTGAGTTTCTGAGTTAGTCTGCCTCATGCCAGCACTGCTGTTTTCTTAACGCTTTGTTTTTATTGAACATGATGGAAGGCTCAGGAAGGTCCTGGACTAACGGGCTGCAGGTCAGCGCTTTTAGAAAAGTTTGTTTGCCTCTGTTCTGTGGACATGTGTGTGCGCGCGTGTGTGTGTGTGTGTGTGTTGTAGGCACGTAGGGGCGTGGCAGCTGAGCTGCATGAGATTACTGCTAGTGAAATCATTAGAATCGGTTTTGTGTGTGTTTATGCATTCTAGTGTCTTCCTCGTTGTGGCCACAATTTGAAACGTACTTGGGCCTCTTCTTAGGCAGGAGACTGACTGTCCAGGGCAGAACCTGGGGTTGGTATTCTTCCTGCTAAGATGTGTGGCTTGAGACGCAGCATTGGCCAGTCTGCAGTGGGGTCAGTTCAGTGTGGCTCCCCACTCCTGCCAGAGACAGAGGGCACGCTTGGACACTCTCTGTCCTGAAAGTGCAGCCTTGCCCTGGGCTGAGAAGGAGGACCACAGAGGCACAATTGTTCCGAGGGGAGTGGGCAGAGAGGTCCTTTCACTCTTCAGGGACTGTGTTGTAGCTTACAGAAGCATGTGCTCGTTTTTGGATGCCTGATCTTGATAGGAAAAAGCCTAGATTTGAACCATTATATCAGTGTGTCTGGCCAAAAAATAAGTGTGCTCGGTGCAGGGGTTGCAGCAACAGTGATGACAGGACCGCTGTTGCAGGAGCCCTGAGTGGCGGTGTCTGTCCTACAGCACCCATCTCTGCTGACCCCAGAGGGTCCCGTGTCACCAGCCGTTCTGCAGAGATGGCACCTGAGCACTCCTGTGCTGAGGGCACTGTGCAGAGCACACGGAGCCTACCTACCTTAGGTTAGAAGTATGGACTGTCGCTCTCCCGGTGCGACATGGAGCTGAGGTGACACCTGTGAACTCACACATGTATCATTAACCAAAAGGGTGCCACCATCCTGGACTGCAGTGGCAGCAAGCTCTCCAGAGCTGAGCAGGTCTGAGTCTCTAGGCCTCTCACTCCCCCCTTTGCAGTGCCCCAGAGCCAGTGTGCAGCTTTCAGTGTCCGGGAACATTATTGTTTTCAAGTAAATTAGTTGAGAATGGAAATCGCTTCTTCATTAGAAGAATCTTTTTGCCATCCCCCTAATGAAAAGGAAATTTTATCACTGTGTAGTTGGAGCCAGTCGTTTGTCTTCATCAGGACTGGAAATAAACATTCATGCTTACTTCACAGACTCTTCTGTGATTTGTGCTGGGGCTGAACATTTTTCCCAAAAAAGAATGAACTTACAGGGTTTTTAGTTATTAAAACAGTGTGCTGCTACCCTACAGATGTTTGTATGTGTGCACAAAATGTGCCACTGTGCAACGCTGTGGGAGATCAAAAGGCCCAGGGCACACCGCAGCATCCTTGGGAACTTCCTGAGTCATTTACAGTGCAGTCATGTTGGGGAGCCAGTGCTAGGACTGGAGCCGCACAGCCTGGTGAGGTGACTCCAGGGTGCGCGTGCATGAGGAGAGTAGGGTGCTTGGAGATCGTGAGCTGGCATCAGCGGGGAAGCCCAGGGCATCACAGGCTGTGTGTGCTCACGAGCACAGATATCTTAGTGGGCCCGCAAGAAAGGGGCAACGATGTATTCTAGGAGGGGACTCTTCCCAGGCTACATGTTCTAAAGTGGGAAGCACCTAGGTCCGCCTGGAGAGCTCACACTTGGTTGCTTGAGTGTGCCTGTGCTGTCTGCTCTCCATCTGTCCCTGGGGGTGTGTTGTAGCTTTGCCTCGTTCTTACCTGTATCACGGGACAGCCTTCCTCATATCAGGAAAACAGAGAGTAGCGTGACTGGCAATGGGCAGAAGGGGCACCACATGTGGGGACCTACTTCGGGCTCACTGTGGACTTGCCAACAAGTCGTCATCAGCCCGTTCACGCCTGGAAACATGTCTCCACAGCAACTGTGGCAGCCATGTATTACAGCTACTACATGCTGCCCGATGGCACCTACTGCCTGGCTCCTCCACCTCCGGGGATTGATGTGGCCACGTACTACAGCACCCTTCCCGCCGGTGTGACCGTGTCCAGCTCCCCCGGAGTGACGACCACTGCCCCACCGCCACCCGGGACCACGCCACCACCACCCCCAACCACGGCTGAGACAAGCAGCGGGGCCACCTCCACAACCACTACCACAAGGTAGGTACCCCACCTACTACCTGCACAGGGTCATCAGAGGACACCCGTGTCTCAATTGAGGTTTGTCCTATGAGGCCTCTGAGTGGTAATTACTTAAATCCCCAAGTTGATGGGAAAACAGGAATCGCCATAACCTAAAATGTTTGGTAGTGATGTGTGACCCGGTGCCACAGTTAATTCTCACACAGCACTACACGCCCTCCTCACCTCCAGCATCTGTCCTGCTCACTGTGTCGACATCTCGGCTGGGCGGTGAAAGGCAGCGTCCCTGTCAGGTGAAAAGGCAGTTGTTTGCAAAACATGTGAATCCTTGCAGTTGATGCCGGTGAAATTGGCTGCTTGCTGGGTCTCCTGTGTTCACCCATGAAGGCAGCAGCGGGCCTGGCTCCTTGAACAGGGAGGGCTCCTCAGTGCCCATGGTAGGGCGAGTGCAAGATGGGCTTCATCAGAGGGACTGAAATACCACACATTGGAAGGGGGCTCTGGGGAAATGAAATGAAACACTTGGATGTTTCTGCAGAAGCAGTGTTCCTTCTGATCAGGCCGATGTGAAATGAAGGATATTGAGTCATGCCAGCTTTTGGGTGGGGGATTGGGGTCTCTGTCTCCTAGGCTGGTGCGGTGGCATGACCACAGCTCATCGCAGCCTTGACCTCCTGGGCTCAGGCATTCCTTCCACCTCAGCCTCTCAATTAGCTAGGACTACCAGCATGTGCCACCATGCCCAGCTAATTTTTTTGATTTTTTTTTTTTTTTAAGAGAGGAAGTCTCACTGTTTTGCCCAGGCTGGTCTGGAAAACTCCTGGGCTCAAGCAGTCTTCCTGCCTCGGCCTCCCAAAGTGCTGGGATTACAGGTATGAGCCATCATACCCAGCTGACTTTTGAAGTATAACAAAAAAAAATATATTACTTATTCTTGGTAGTTTCCAAGACTTAGCTTGTGATTGGAGGGAAATGATAGTTAGGAATACATGTATGTACCTATTTGTGTCGCTTTTCGGCTCCATTTAGTGACACTTGTGATGAGTATCTGTAGCACAAGGCATCTCCAACAGAGAGCCTCCCCTGGCATCTGCACTGGCATATCTGTGTGGGTGTCCAAGGCAGTGGGAGACCCTTGGGCAGCCAGGTCTGAGCTCCAGAATCCCTGGTGGCTCCAGTGTGCTCACAGGGCTCTCCTCTGCAGTGCACTTGGCCCCGTGGCCGCCATCATCCCCCCACCCCCCGACATCCAGCCTGTGATTGACAAGCTGGCAGAATACGTCGCCAGGAACGGCCTGAAGTTTGAGACCAGCGTCCGTGCCAAGAACGATCAGAGGTCAGATGAAGTCTTCTATGTGTGTTAGGTGTATGCTCGGCTGAGGGTATGGGGGTAGGTTAGCTTTCAAAATCTAGGTATACAATTCCTTTCTTAGGTTTTTAATCCCTTTCTTGACTCAGATGTCTTTAGATAAATATGTTTTGTAGTTATCTTGCTAAATTGCCTCTAGTTGGGGTGGGGTTTTTTTCTGTTGTGTTACCTGTTTTTTTTTATTTTGTTTTTGTCTTTTAAGTAAAATGTTGAAGCCACCTAGAATTCATGCATTTCAAAAATCTGCCTTGAAAATCTAGGCACAAACCTTTCTTTTAAAAGCTTAAATAGAGTTCCTCACTTCAGGTAGTGAAGCATAAAGCTTGAGGTTACATTTGCAGGGTGATCTGTGTGACCCAGGGCAAGCCATAGAATCTCCCTGAGCTTAGCTCCCACGTCTGTAAAATGGGTAGCTGGCGTGGGAGCTCTCTGTAAGGCTGTGTCAATAGCTGACAAGTTAGCCCTCGTGCAGGTCTTGGAGCGGGGTCTTTTATTGCTGCAACGTGCTTGTTGTGTTGAATGACTTGCTTTATTTCTCTGCTCAGGTTCGAGTTCCTGCAACCGTGGCACCAATATAATGCCTACTATGAGTTTAAGAAGCAGTTCTTCCTCCAGAAGGAAGGGGGCGATAGCACACAGGTGCGGATGGGGGGTTATGATGCTCTGTGTACGGGTGTCTTGGTTTCCAGGCACAGGCATCGCTTTCTGTTGATTCTCAGTATGTACAAAAGGGCTTGTTGAGTCTACACTTGTTTGTAGCATCTATCTGGCATATGCTGTCTTTAAGTCCTCCCTCAGGTCTAACCTCAGTCTTTAAGCATTCGTGGTGTGTTGAGGGTCATTTTCTAGTATATTCTAGACAAAAAAATGTTCTCTTCCTTAGGCATTCGAGGGTGTGACTGTCTCTGGTGGTTTTTTTGTTTTTGTTTTTTTTTGAGTTGGAGTCTCACTCTGTCACCCAGACTGGAGTGCAGT